GGGGGAGTTTAGGATGTGATATTTAGGACCCAGAGAACAGAAACCAGCATTCCAGAGGCAGCAGATCCCACCAGCTGCCCTCACCCCTTCTCCTCCTGTTTTGGGTTGCTGTGGGGCTGTGCCTGCCCCAGCAGGATCCCCGAGGAGCTCCAGCCTTTTCAGAGGCAGCAGCTCCCTCACAGAGCCGTCCCACAGGACTGTGGCAGATTGCAAACACTCTCAGCACAATCACAGCAGCCCAATTAGCATAATGATGCTGCCTAATGTATGCACAAATTGCCCTAATTTATGTGTGTCGATACATATGATTAAACCAAGCACAGGTGGAACAGGGTTTGGTCTCACCCAGCCAGTGAAGCACAAAGCTTCCCAATCCCAAAATGTGTGAAAAATCCCAAAATTCCTTCTTTGTATTACTAAAATATGGAGCTTTGTGTTGTTTTGCTCTGGCAGCATGAATGGGGTGCAGGGCAGGGCTAAACTCATGGCAGGAGGTAAGAGAATAAAGGATTCCTGGGCTGAGATTTGCATGGATTAAAGGCAGCTTTAATTTGCCTTGATACACTTGGGTTTCAGGTGGATTAACAGGCAGTGGGATTTGGGGCTGTCTAGCCAACAAATAATACCTGCCTTCCTGTTATTTTCATTATTTTAATAGGGGATGAAGGACTCTGGAGCTGTAGGCCATCTTTGCCAACCCCTGATCTTGAGCATTTTTGTGTGTTGTAACCATTTTTGTATTTTATACCATTAATATTCCCAAACAACAAAACTGCTGTCGTCATCTGAATTCCCAGAGCATTTTCTCAGCAGGGTTCTTCCAAAAAACCCTTCTCAGATTGTAACCTTGTATTCCTCATTTTAAGAAAAGAAATAGGTGATTTTTTTTTTCATAGAATCACAAACTGGTGATCTTAAAGATCATCTTGTTCCTATTAATCTGTCATGGTCTCCATCACCTGTGAAATTCTCTGATTTTCCTGCACTTAGCACCATCCAAAGTTGTGCTTGGAATCTCTCAGCCTCATGAATGAAGGAATAAATTGACCATGAAAATATTGACAGCACATTTGCTTATGCCAACTTCCTGACTGGGTCCCATAAAATTTACCTCTTTGTTTAAATGCACGGAGCTAACCAGTATTCCCATCCTAAATCTCAAACTCTGTACCAGCCACTGGGAAGAAAATGAAGTCTATCCCAAAAATTAACTCTCTCTTAGCCAAAACCTGGACAAGCTGGCCACAGCACCAAGGCTCTCTGAGTTGGAGAAGTTTTTGGGCAGCTCTCAGGCACAGGGTGGGATCCTTGGGGTGTTCTGCACAGGGTTAGGAGTTGAACTCAATGATTCTGATGAGTCCTTTCCAGCTCAGGATATTCCATGGTTGTAACCATCCTGGAAGACACTTGACCCTGAGTCCAATGGTCTTTTTCATAACTGGAATCTCTTTCTGAATCAACTTTTGATTGTCAGAAATACCTGGAGCAGGTCAGTGTTGGATTTCCCAGTGCTGCCAGGATTAGAAAACTGAATTTTCGTGGTAGAGAATGAAAGTTCCTTCCTATATCTGGCATGTCTTCCTTGCCATTGGTGTGGTGTAACAGCAGGTTAAATTGCTTGCATCCAAATACATACAAATGGTTTAGAAATAATAATTATGAATTATTATGGTTTTCCCAAGGTCATTGGGTTTCAGGGATGGCTTTCCACACTCTGATGGCACCAGATCCTCCTGATGCAGCTTTTTGGGAGGATTACCTGGCAGGAGGATTTCACTGCTGGCACATCATGGCCCAGTGGGGTCAGGGAAAGGCAGAGGAGTGGAAAGGACGTGTGGGGCTGCAGGAGCCAAACGTGGGACACAGCTCTGAGCCACTCTTGCTCCTTGGCAGTCACACTTCCTCTCTGCACAGAAACTGGTTTCTGAGGCCAGTGAGTAATTTCTAAGAACAGATGTGGATGTAAGACACTCCTGGGAGTGTGTACAACATGAGACGTTTCTGCTCTCATACTCGAGGGCCTCACCACGCTCTGTACCTGTCACAAGGAGTGAGGGCTGTGACTCACTGCAAGTCACACATCCCAAATTCCCCTCTGCTCCTGCCTCTGCTCCCTTTTTGCAGCCCTCTGAAGGCACAGCCAGCTCACACACGTGCCACTGGCATTTATGAGCTCTCTTGTGTTCCTTGTGCCTCTGCATTTGCTGGGTTTTGTGTGCACTCCTCTTGCAGGAGGTGCTGTCCTTGTCTTGCAAGGAGCTTTGGGAAAACTCAGCTTCATTGCTGATTCCCTTTGAACTCTCAGATGGTGGGAGTTTTGGAGAAGAGGAGGCTTTGGGGAGACCTTCCAGCACCTAGAGAGGCTAAAACAGAGCTGGAGAGGGACTTTGGACAAGAGCATGGAGGGATGGGATACGGGGAAATGAACTTAAGCTGTAGCAGAGTAAATTTAAATGGGGTATGAGGAAGAAATCCTTGGTTTGAGGGTGATGAGCCGTGGCACAGGTTACCCAGTGAGATTGTGGAATTCTCATCCCTGGAAATGTCCAAATCTAGGTTGGGCAGGTTTGGAGCAACCTGGAGTAGGGGTAGAAGATCACTGGACTTGATCATCTCCAGAGGTCCTTTCTGACCCAAACCATTCCATAATTCTGTGATTCTCTTTCATTTAGCACCATCCAAAGCTGTGTTTGGAATCTGTCTTGTGAATGAAGGAATAAATTTGCCATGAAAATTTACCCAGAGAGATTGTGAACTTCCCATCCCTGGAAATGCCCAAATCCAGGTTGGACAGGTTTGGAGCAACCTGGAGTAGTGGTAGAAGATCACTGGACTTGATCATCTCCAGGGGTCCTTTCTGACCCAAACCATTCCATCATTCTGTGATTCTCTTTCATTCAGCACCATCCAAAGCTGTGTTTGGAATCTGTCTTGAAGGAATAAATTTGCCATGAAAATTTACCCAAAGAGATTGTGAACTTCTCATCCCTGGAAATGCCCAAATCTAGGTTGGGCAGGTTTGGAGCAACCTGGAGTAGTGGTAGAAGATCACTGGACTTGATCATCTCCAGAGGTCCTTTCTGACCCAAACCATTCCATCATTCTGTGATTCTCTTTCATTTAGCACCACCCAAAGCTGTGTTTGGAATCTGTCAGCCTTATGAATGAAGGAATAAATTGGCCATGAAAATATTGACAGCACATTTGCTTATGCCAACTTCCTGACTGGGTCCCATAAAATTTGCTGCTTTGTTGAAATGCACGGAGCTAACCAAAGGATGGCGGAATTCACAGGGAGGAGAGGACAGGCTGAAGGCTGGACTGAATTCTTGTAGCCCTCAGACCCCTCTGCCCCAGGACAGCAGCTCTGGGAGGTGTTGGGAAATGCTGGATCATAAGGAAGAAAATGCAAGTGGGATCTGGGAATACCAATGAGTCTGGCACATCTGGGGTCACTCATTTAGAGCCAGAGCCAAGAGAAAGCAAATACCTCAGCTGTTCTCCAGCTCCCTTAAAAAAGAAGTATCAGGAAAATCACCCAGCTCTCCTCCTCCCTGGCAGATCCAATGTCTTTAATCTGCTCTGTGTCACAGCTTCTCTTACAATGGAATTGCTGGTGGTCTGTTCAGGTTAAGCAGCCATTCTGGCAGGTTTCAGAGCAGACATCATCTCCAGGTCTCGTTGCTTTGAAGCTCCCAGTTCTATCACACTCACATAGAACTAAATCAGATTTTTTTTCTTCTCAGTGGAGGCAGAAAATCAGCCCTGTGAGCCCATCTGATTGCAGTGCTGAGGCTTGTCTAATTGAACAAGTGCTCGAGTCAACACTTGAGCAGGATGGAAAACAATGAGGAGATCACCCAGGGATTATGTCTGAGCTCCACAGCTCCTGGCACTGACAGAGCAGATGGCTGGGTCACATCCTGCCCAAGGCTGGCCAGCAAAGATGTCGACAGGAAAAAAAAAATTAAATTAATTTGGTTTAAATGTATTCAACTCGAAATCTACAAGTGCCTCAGGTCTCTAATTCTGTGCTCAGGTCTCTAATTCTGTGCTTTAGAGCAGCAGCCCAGAAGATGGGATTAGTTGGGGGGTGGCTCTGCAGAATCCTGCAAGGAGCCCTGCTGCTGCTGCTGCCTCAAAGCTGATGTGGGTAAAAAACATTTTGGCAAGGGGAACTGAGATGCAGGGACTGGAGACAATTTGGCTGGTCCTGGAAAAGTGGGGACCAACCAGGAGCAGTGTGGGCATGGCAGGTGAGCTGTGAGCCCGTGGTGTGGCTGTGCTGGTGGAGCCAGGAACCCAAACCCACGCAATGGTGGGGAGGGAGGTGCTTTGTGCAAGCGTGGGGACATCACAAACATCCCTGCAGGTCTCCAGCCTGTTCCTTATGGGATCACACCTGATCCTACAGCCAGAGTCTGGATCCAGAGAGCTTTGGGCTGGTGGCTGTGCCATGGGGATGTGGCCACCAGAAATCCTGGTGACCTCCAAGTGGCTTTGTGTCCCCTTCCCTTGGGGTGGGAGGAAATGAACACACAGAACTGCTTTTCCCAATACCCCAACTATTTCTGTCTGGGGGAATGCACCCTCAGAAGAGCCCTCACTACAACAGCAATTATCTATTCCCTCTAGCTTTGGACTCTCCTATATTTATTTGCTTTTACCCAAACAGCAGTGCATCCATCTGCATTCCCAAGCTGGGAATATCAGAGTCCTTTCATCTGCAACTGCTGCTGCCCTGTAATTCCCTCCTGCCACCTCTTCCCAAAAGCACTTTTAACCCTGGGAACTCCCAGTTTTGCTCTCTGTACTTAAAAGTTATTTTCATTTTTTTTGTGTGTGTCTGTAGGTTGAGCAATAATAAAAAATTGCATTTTGCATCTGGTAAAATGGAGTGGAATTGCCTTGCTGGCAGCAGTAAAAATGCTGTTTCCCTAAGATGTTGCTGTATTTGTCTTCTTTGGTTCTAAAAGCTTTTTTTGTTTGTTTGTTTCCAGGGGGCAGCACTGGAAGAACCTTTATGGGCTCCTAATGAAGTGCAGGTGGACGATTGACTGATGATAATTAAGGTAGGAAGAGCTGCTGGTAATTTTGGCATCTTTTTTGTCCTGTCCTTGCAATAAAATGGTGCTGGCCAGTGGCCATCACTATTTTGGGGTTCATGGCTCTATGGCCAAGCAGTAACTTGTGCTAAAGCGTCCCTTTAAACACAGATGGAAGGGAAATCTTATTTAAGAACTACCTGGGAATGTAACTAAGTGGAAAAAATCTGACTTCCTCCCCCAGAGGATAATAAGGTCTCTGTTGGTGCAGAGTTGGAAGGGACATGACTCTTATTTGAGAGCGCTCAGCACAGGGATTTTTTTGTTCTGCTGAAACCCAGTGGTTGGGTTGGAATTCAGGTTCTAACTTGCAATCTCAGAAAAAAAAAGAAGAAAACTTGAACTAAAGATATATTTTATTCGTTTATTTTCATCATCTCGAGCGTCTGCAGAAAGCTGGTCTATCTCCAAATGTGGCAAGAGAGTGCTCAGTTCTTGATGGATGAAACAGAGGAAAATCCCTGATTTAAAAGCAGCAAACTGTTGTACAAACTTGGAGAAGGAAATACAAATGTGAGCAGAGCTGAATGGATTTATGAGTAGTTTTTATGCTGCTTTTACACCTGAATTCTTGCCTTGCTGGGTTGTTTCTGCCGTGGTGGTTGTGCATCATCAGGAGGGTGGGATGGTCACTGCTGGTCTCTGCCTCCCCTTCCTGAAGCAGAGAGGGTCAGCACAGAGACCCCCAAATATCTACTGGAGCAGAGGCTTTGCTTCCTCTCACAATTTGGGTTTTCACTTCTGATTCGTGGCTTCACTTCATGGCTGCTTGGTTTTTGGTGTCAGCAGAGAGCTGTTGGAAGGAGAGGGGGAAATTCAAGCTGCAACAAGAACAAATTCTTTGAACGTGGGTTTACCGTTCTCCAGCCTATTCCTGCTTTTTGTTTGGCTTGTGATAAGATGCACTGCTGTGGAATTTGCTTGGAGCAGGGATTTGCATGAATTATTGTTCCTTGCAACGTGCACATGTGTTCAAACCCTCTCCCTGTGCTCCATGGTACCCCAGCACCCCTTTGGAGGAGGATTTGTGTGCTGGGGTGCAGTGATCAGCAAAAGCCAAGTGCTTGGGGGAAGGAAGGCTGCAGTGATAAAAACAAAGTGCTGAAATAAGGGGAAAACTCCTCCAGGGCTGTGCAGCAGCGTTGGGATTTGTGTGTTTATTCTGTGGGCTGACTTTATCCCAGCGTGATTTTATAAAAGCAACATCCTCCTGTTAGGGAAAAAACTCAGCAGTGCTTGGCCTCTTGCAGAGTTCACTTTTTATTTAGGAGGTGTAATGGCATCAGTCACAGCTGCTGATTGATGTAGTGCGGCCCAAAATTATGTACAAGATGGGAGTAAACAGTCATTGGGGATGGTGTCGTGATTCTGCACTTGGAGCTTTTCATTTGAAAGGTTTTCCCCTTCTCCTAAAGAGATCTTTCTGTAAATCACTAATTAAGCAAATGAGCTACAGTGACATCAGTCTAACTCCAAAAAGAGCTGGTGTTTTGGAGAAACTTTCAAGCTGCAGACTCTCAATTATCCAATATTTAAAATTATGGTGTCTTAGAGGAATAGAAAAAGCAAGGAAAGAATTACTGGAATTTTGGGTGACTTCAGGTTTCACATACAAAATCAAGTTTTTTTATGTAATTCTGAATTCTACACTGATGCTAAATCTGGTGTCCTCACTAAATTTGACTAAATCTGATGGCATTAAAAATTTGCTAGCAATTCTCTTACTTCCATTTTGTAGAGAGTAGAAAAGGTTAAGGCAAATACATTGGGATGTTCATCCACAATACTTTGTGCAATGTATTTATTTTCTGAAAAATTCACTTTGATGGCGAAACTGGGGGAGCTTCTGCCTCCAGAGCATCAGGGGCAGGCATGAGTGGATGTTCATCTGCAATACTTTGTGCAATATGTTTATTTTCTGAAAAATTGACTTTGATGGGGAAAACTGGGGAGAACTTCTGCCCCCAGAGCATCAGGGGCAGGCGTGAGCGATGGGAGCATAATTTGTGAGGTCCTGGGTTGGGAAGAGCACCAGTGTGTGCTGGAAGCAGTCAGAGCAAGGTGCTGAGTGTGATGCAGCTGTGGCATTGTGTGGAGCTGTATCTGAGCGTGCAAAGCACTCCCAGAGCTGCTGAAAAGGGCAGAAACCATCAGGGTGTGGAGGGGACCCTCCCTTGGCACCAGGGCCGTGTTTTTGAGAGGGGGAGCGCTAAAACCACAGACCTTATTTCAACAAACCCCATCCAAAGCCATGCACAACCTCTGCACCATCCATATCCTCCTCCAGCTGTGTTGCCAGCAGTTTTTGGGGAGGTGGGAGCCACGCTGGGGTGTCCTGGATTTGCAGAAGAGCTCGACACGTGTGGTTTCCTCCACCGGTTCCCTGAGCTGTTGTTTTCGGTGCTAGCCACAATAACTGAAATGTCTTTCCTGAGAGATAAGTCAGTAATTGTGGTTGGCTCCTTCCTCTGGTGTTTGTTCTCTCAGTAACTTGAAAGTTTATTTATCACCAGGGTGCTGCTGGTGCTCCCCTCCAGCACGGTCCCACAGCTTCTCCCTCAAGGATTGCTCCTCAAAAAAGTGCCACAGCTTCATCTTCTCCTCAGGAGCGTGCAGTTGTGACCAGATTTCATGAGATGACTGGAGGTGGTGGGTCAGGACTCATCCCAGTCCTGCACTGCTTCATCCTGGTGGATTCTGCTTGGATTGACCAAAGTGGTTTTTGCCCCACTTGGATTTGCAATTTTGGTCAAAGCCACCACCAGCTGCAGTGCTTCTGAGCCCTGTAAAGATTGCTGTCACAGTTTGGACCTTGCTGATCCTTGGAGCACGTTTTGGAAACACAGTTTGCCCAGACACCATAAATCACAAGTGAAATGTGCTCCTAAATCCCACTGGCACTTCTCCCCACCTCTTTCCTGTGAAGCTTCAAACTTCTGCAGTGAAATTTGATCATCCTGCTGAGGTGAGCTGACCTGGCCTAAAAAACACCCTGGGATTTGCAGGGACTGCAAACCCTCATTCCCAGCACACACCTCCAGCACTGGGTGGTTGGAGCTGAGCATGGAATGGGGACAGGAAGGAGAAAACTCCTTGCAAAAACCACTGCAGGCAGCGTGTCAGGACCTGCAGCCCCTACCTGGAGCTGCTGGGTATAAATAAACACATCCACCCTCCTTATTTCTGACAACTGCCTCCCTGAGGAGTAATTTATTTTTTTTTCCCCAGTAGCTTGTTCTGCAAGCAGGTTTCCTCTTGCAGGTGATTAGGAAAACCTCATTTTTATGTTAATTAGGCGTAACTATCAGTGCACAGACATCAACTGCTCTCACATCCTTCTGAGACTGCGATTTTTATTGAAATTCAGTCCTGAAAAACCGAAACCAGCAACTGATGTACCTGTTGCCTGAACAGATGGGAAACTGCACCAGAGGGGTGGTTGTCTCATAAAAAACGTTGCCAGGGTGTAGCAACCACAGGTTCAGCTTTCAGGAGGCTTGCAGCTGCAGTCAGTTTAGGTTTTTAGCTGTGTTTGCTTGCTAAGTTTGAGGGCTTCCTTAACAACTTGTCTCCACTGAGATCAAGCCGTGTTAATTTAGTTAATTGCAGCTAAGCACAGCTGCTGCTGACACTGGTGGGCCTGCACCTATAGGAGCAAATCTTTTTCATGTTGTTGTCTCCAAACATATCCCTGCTTTGATTGTGTTTGTTCCAGTGGGAGGATTGAGCTGATTCACATTTTCAATAAAAAAGATCCTTCAGTTTTGGCAGATTGGCTGCACCATCCATCAGAGTGCTGAAGGTTGGATGGGGTTTGGAGCAGCCTGGTTCAGTGGAAAGTGTGGAACTAAATTGTCTTTAAGATCCCTTCCAACAGAAAAGAAGAGGGAGCTCACTCAGATACGTTTTGGGTTTGTGGGCAAAACACAAGTGCAGCTGCTTTGGTGACATTTTTTCACAGTACCAGAGGTGGAGGGGCCAGAGGAGAACATCTGGTCCCAGCTGATACAAACCAAAATCCATGAAATTCTGGAGATGCCCCCAATTGGAATTGCCCTGTCCTTCCCCAACACCACAGGGAGGTTTCAGGAACACGTTTGCCCAGCAGTGGGATCAGCCAGGTCACTGCTAACACCATTAACTTCTCCTGCCTCCTTCTCCAGAACTCAGCTCTCTGATATTATTTAAGGATTTTGTAATCCAAATCCTTGAGGTTCCTTGCAGAAATCTAAAACAAATACATCCATCTTATCAGGCCTTTCCAAGAGCAAAGCATGGAAATCCCCTGGCTGGCACCGTCACCGGTGTTTTCCTCTCTCTGCACCAGCAAATCTCCTTCAACATTGCTGGAAAAATCTGCCCTGGATTATGCAATGATGAAGAAGAAAGAATGAAAATTTACCCAGGAATTTGGCCAGGGACATGTGGACCCCTCACAGCTCCAGTTGGATGGATTGTGATGCGTTGAACACATGGATGTGGTACAGAACTGTCCCTTGGTCAGGAACCTGTTCCCTTTTCACACAGAGTCATTCTGAGGGCAGGCACATATCTGGGTTGGGGATTTTTGTGTGTGGATGTCCACAGGGAGATAAGGCAGGCTGGAAAAATTAATTATTTTGTGTATTTCCCAGGGCTGGGATCCATTGATTTTTTTCTTATTTTTTTCTTTTTTTTAACTTTTTTCTTTTTTTTCTGTTTTTTTCTTTTTTTAAGTTAGGGTTGGGATTAAATGTATTGATGGTATTTTGTGTTTGGATTCAGATTTTTATTCATTTTTATTTATATGACAATCTTACATCTTTCGAATTCTATAATATTTTACTAACAAGTTATAAAATGGTTTCATATTTATCTTTTTAAAGGAAAAACTATTTAATGAAGAAATGACACTTAAATTATTTTTACTTTTAACTTAATAATTACTTATGTCTTATAATGTGGACTTTTTTGTTTAGTTATAAATA